CGGTCTATGAATATTACAACATTATACGACTAATTAACTTCGTGCAATTAAATTACATATAATGATAAAAGAAGTTATTTCATACTAATTAATATTAAATCCTTTTGCTATCGGCAGTCCACCTGGGCCGGAGCGCCGTCAGTGAATGAGACTTCATGCCAAGTGTACACGCAGTCAGAGGCGGGTAGTAGTGTCTCTCGGCAGGGCCGTAATACGCCTGTGAAAAATCGAGCGACAGACAGATACAATCTGTAAGGTAGCACATGATGGCATAAATGGCAGTTGGCTCCAAATACCGTCCTAAGCTTTTTTAGCCGTATTGTGAGGCATATTCACCAACAAGCTTCGAGGAAAAAGAGTGGTGCACTTTGAAAGCAAGCTGACATGAAAATTCGTCTCATTTGGAGTCTTTATCGAACGAATAGCACAATCAACTTAGTGGAAAGTATGCCTCCGGAGAGTGCCAGAACAATTATCGAATGCCGGTTGGTGACTGGACTCATATATAAGGTAGTAGCGTTTTTCCTTCTCAATGGAGTGCAACAAATCCATGTGCTTAAAAAATCATTAAAAATAAGATTTTTTTCTACAATTAACCGTACGTACACGCTCTTACTTACAGACTGTATGTACGGAGAGCGTATTGTACGTTGTAACGTATAGTGCGAGAGAAGCAAAAAAGAGCGATCTGCATAATTATATATGATTATTACACTACTCAAAACAATTAGGGAGCGCTTGCGCCATCAAATTTTGCAAGTTCTTGAAAACGATTACTTGCGCTACTCATTTTCGCTAAAATGTCTTATTTTTATACATGCATACATACAATGCAGATACATAAATTGTGTTTCTTGCGTTAGAGTCTATTACAGACTTTGCGAGTTTGATGTGATGCAAGTTTATTAGTGTAAGAGCTTCATTTTACTTGTTAGATGTGTTTTCAGGTAATTGACCTTAAGTAGCACAATTTACATACATTTACATACATAAAAATTAGACATATTAGCGAAAATGAAGTAGCGCAAGTAATCGCTTTAATAGAAGAGGGTCCTTATCTCTGCTGACACACACACACACGCGCGCACGCCCGCACGCACCACACATGATATGCAAAATGCGATCAATAAGTTTCTCATGGTGCGCATCGAGTAATGTTAACCCATTAACGTCTAAAAGTCCTAAAATATTAGCCTTACTTTGCAACTGTATTTTATGTAGAGAAACATATTATATAAGGTTGGAATAGCATTTTCGTATGTTTTCAGGTCGTTCTACAAGATTCCGGTATTAAAATGCGTTTAGATTCACAAAAAATGCAATATGGCCGAATTTTTGGAAATAAGTCATGAAAAATCGACAATTTTATTTCTTATAAGCTTGATTTCGTATCAAAAACGTTACTTTAATACAGATACAAGTGTCACATCTTGTCTAAAAAATGTTGAACTTCCAAGGTATGCATTAGTAAGAATATGAATTCAAGATGACTTCCTCAAAATGGCGGTTTGAGCGAAAAAAAAATTAAAAAATAATGTGTTTTTTAAAATAACTTCGCAAAATCTTAATATTTAACATCAATTTAGTATCCAGAATACTGATTTAGGATACTTGCTGACAACTAATTCATATTTGAGAATTTCAAAATGGCGGATCCAAGATGGCGACTGAAAGGCGCGAATAATCGTGAAAATTTCCAGATTTTCTTCATGAATTTTTCATGAATGATTTCATGAATTTTCTTCTATTATTTTCATATTCATGAATTATTTTCGAGATGTACACATGCACATATACAGGGTGGGCAATTATAAACTTACAAACTTAATAAAAACATAAAAAACATCGAGATTAGTACAACGGACGGGAAAAAATAACAATCGACCACGTAAAGGTTTGAGAAAAATTGCTAAATAAATGAGTGAATGAACGCTCAGTGGGCATGCGTTGTGGCCATTGCAGGCATGCTACTCCGTACAGCTTGGGCCGGATTGGCAGGTAACAACAGCGGACCGGCGCGCACTGTTGTTACCTGTCAATCCGGTCCAAGCTGTGTGCAGTACCAGGCCCGCGATGTCCGACCACTGCGCATTTATTCGCTCATTTATTTAATAATTTTTCTCAAAACTTTACGTAGTCAATTCCAATTTTTTCCCATCCGTTGTATTGGGTGAGTGCAAAAGTTCGTGCGGAGTTTGTGAGTAAAAGTCACACAGTGATTAGGCAAACAAAAACCTTTATTCAATCAATGATATATTCTCCATCGTTTTCTATAATCTTTTCCCAACGTTCTGGCAGCATACGGATGCCTCGATCATAAAAACTGCACGGTTTAGATTCGAAGAACGAAGAGACGCCGTTTTTTAAGGCCTCCAAAGAGTCAAAGTTTTTTCCATTTAAATAATTTTGCAATGACCGGAACAAGTGATAGTCAGATGGTGCGATATCAGGAGAATACGGTGGATGCGTTAAGACATCCCATTTCAGGCTCTTCAGTTTGCGCAGCGTCTTTTTCGAAACGTGTGGTCTGGCGTTGTCGTGATGAAAGACGACTCCCTTGCGATTTGACAAAATCGGACGTTTCTCTTTTATTTCTCGATTCAGATCGGTTAATTGGCGACAGTACTTGCCCGAATCAATCGTTTCGCCAGCGGGGAGAAGCTCGAAATAGATTATGCCCTTGCAATCCCACCAAACAGAGAGCTTCATCGGGTGCAAACTGGCATTGCGTCACCATGCTCACCTGATTGTTTCCATGTCCGTTTGCGCTGAACATTGTTATAGAGGACCCATTTCTCATCGCCCGTCACTAGTCGATCCAAAAACGACTCGTTATTGAGCCGCCCGAGTAAAGAAACGGCTGCAGAAATTCGCTTGATTTCGTTCTTCTCGGTCAGCAAAGGGGGCACCCATATATCGAGCTTCAAATCGAATCCCATCTTTTTTAAACGCCGAAAAGCGGTTGATCGGTCAACGTTTAGTGCTGTAGCAACTTCTTCTGTTGAAATTCGCGGATTATTGAGCACTAAAGTACGCAAAACATCGTCATCAATGTCAGAAGGTCGACCAGAGCGTGGCTCGTCTTCAAGGTTAAATTCTCCGCGCCGAAATTTAGCAAACCATTTTTCCACAGTTCGTTAGCTGGTGCTTCATCCTGATAAACATCCTGAATGTTTTTTACGGCTGCGGCAACGTTTATTCCCTTCCGAAACTCGTAAAGCATAACATGCCGTAAATGCACCTTATCGATACTCATTTTTAAAGTGATATTTCTCGAAGTAGTTTGAATGAAAATAAATGATTTTTTTTTTAATAACAGCTGAAGACGTCACCTTTCCAACGTTATATAATATGTAGATGCAAGTATTAATGACAGCACTTTACGACGCTTATAACTCCATCTATTGAAACTCCGCACGAACTTTTGCACTCACCCAATACTTACCTCGATGTTTTTTATGTTTTTATAAAGTTTGTAAGTTTATAATTACCCACCCTGTATATGTGCGTGTGTATGTCTCGAAAATAATTTATGAATATGAAAATAATAGAAGAAAATTCATGAAAATCTGGAAATTTTCACGATTATTCGCGCCTTTTAGTCGCCATCTTGGATTCGCCATTTTGAAATTCTCAAATATGAATTAGTTGTTAGCAAGTATCCTAAAATCAGTACTCTGGATACTAAATTGATGCTAAATATAAGGATTTTGCGAAGTTATTTTAAAAATACATTATTTTTTAAGTTTTTTCTCTCAAGCCGCCATTTTGAGGCAGCCATCTTGAATTCACATTTTCACCAATGCATACCTTGAAAGTTCAACATTTTTGTGACAAGATGTGACGCTTGTATCTGTATCAAAATAACGTTTCTGATACGAAATCAGGGTTACAAGAAATAAAATTGTCAACTTTTCACTTTTTTCCAAAAATGCCATAATTGTTTCTATTGTGAATCTAAACGAATTCTGATGCCGGAATCTTGTAGAACGACCCCGAAAACATAAGGAAATGCAATTCCAACCTTATATAATATGTTTCTCCACATAAAACACAGTTGCAAAGAAAGGCTAATATTTTTGGACTTCTGGACGTTAATGAGTTAAGGAAAACTTGGTAATTTTTCCAACATTTACGTTATGATATCTCGCTAACTATTCGTCGAATGAAAAAATAGTAGACTTTTTACTTTATTTACTATCAAGAATATACTACTATAATAGTGCCCTAACTTTTACTAATTCAATAATTTTGAAATTTCCAAAGGTCGATAAATTAACAAAAGTTAGGGCACATTTATAGTAATATATCCTTGATAGTAAATAAAGTAAAAAAGTCTAATACTATTATTTCTTTCGACGAATATTTAATGAGATATCGTAAGGTAAATGTTGGAGAAGTTACCAACTTTTCCTTAAATATATCAAAAAACCATTTTTCCTTAAATATATCAAAATATATTAAGCAAATAGAAAATGTTTTAGACAAAAGTTGCTTAAATTAATTGGTAGAAAAGATGATATAAAAATCGGGGATTTCCGTTTTAAAAAATTGATAATCAGTGAATACCTCGAAAGTGGAGCCATCTGTAAACAAAATGCTATCGCTGTCTTATGTCCCCCTTCAAGCCAAACAACTTTTGTCTTAAGCATTTTTCGATTTAACGCAGTGTTTCTGAGATATTTGAGTGGGTCCTTTAAAATGGGACACCCTGTATAACAATAGAAATTATTACATGTTTAAAGATAAATATATATTTATATGTATTATTTTACATATTGCTGTGTCCAATTTTTCAAAATTTTTAAATGAATGTGTTATAAAATATATTGCAAAACTTATTTTCTGCTCTACAAACAATTTAATTCGAGAAATCGACTTAAAAAATAAAATTTATCTGATTGTATTAAACATCTTATATAATATATAAATAAATATAAAATAATATAATATAAAATGAAATTAATTTTTAGACATAAATTAATCTCCTTTGCAGTTTTCAGAAAGCGCCCAAATCTAGTGAATCTTTTTATCCATATTTCTATTCACGTGCATGCTTGAGTAGGTTGAAAACCGAATATGACGCTTTAAGTACCTGCAAAATTCACGCTTGAGTCATTTAAAATATTCGCGATGATAAGTGATAATTCTTAAAGCAGATCGGACCAGGTTAGCGAAGATAAGTAACATAAACTTTATTTATATTCCAATAAAAATATTTTGCGATATGTTTCCATTATTTTCATTGTTTTTCCATAATTAAAATATAACGCACAATGAATATACAGGGTTTGTCAAAAGTATGGAAACCCTTAAATAATTTTTGTAAAATGAAAATATTAAAAAAACTGTAAAACACGTGTTTTGATTTTTCAAAAGAACTACCCTATGACATGGATACCGATCATTTCTCGCCTCCTGCTACGTGGGGGTAAAAGGGGGTTGAAAATTTTAAATTGGACTAAGGGTCGAATAGGGGCTCATTTGAAAGGTCTTTTCATATCAAACACACTCTTAAAATTTCAAATCGCTACGCCCCCCCCCCCATTAAGAATGACGGCCGTTCAAATTTCGAAATTTCATGTACTTAGTGTTATCCAGGATCAACTGGCTACTTAAAATCAATTGTTCTCACTGCTACTTAAAATCAGTTGTTCTCACGGCTACTTAAAATTAGTTGTTTTCACGGCTACTTAAAATCAGTTCTCATAGATCTTTGGCAGATTAAAAATTAAACGTTTAAAAAAATGGCTGGCGAATTGTCGGAACATGAAAGAATCACTATCCTCATGATGTGTGGATGGGGTGATAACGAGCGGTCGTACGCTGCTGTCGCTCAATTATTTAATGAGACGTATCCGAATCATCGAATTAATAAGTCCATTGTCTTAAAAACAATGGAAGGTTTCAGAGAAACTGGTAGCGTAAACAATCGCCCTAAATCAGGGAGATCTACCATTAACGAAGAAAAACAACTTGATGTTTGCAGACATTTATTGAAGGTCCCAATTCTACTATTAACAGAGCCGCTCAAACTCACGATATTGCTCCCAAGTTCGTTTGGAGAATTTTAAAGAAAAACAAGTTCCATCGATACAAATTACAATATGTTCAAGAATTGCAAAACGGAGATGTGGAATGTCGTATTGATTTATGTGAAAGAATGATGGTACTAATCGATGTCCGGCCCATGTTCCCTTATCAAATTGTTTTTACAGACGAGGCAAGTTTCACGTTAACGGGAGAAGTTAATAATCAAAATTCCCGTTTCTGTTCAGATGAGAATCCGAATTGGGTGTGGAAAACTCACACACAATACCCACAAAAAGTAAATGCATGGTGTGGAATAATAGATGGCTACTTAATAGGACCGCTTTTTTTTTTAAGAAAATCTGAATGCTCAAAGGTATGACAGATTACTGGTAGATCAAATAATTCCAGCCATACGAAATATTTATCCAAATAATTTCGAAGAAATATGGTTTCAGCATGATGGAGCTCCTGCTCATTTTGATTTAGGGCCACGTCAAATTTTAAATGAGACTTTTCTATTACGATGGATAGGAAGAAGGAACAGAAATGAGGGAGGAGAGGATTGGCCACCTCGGTCACCAGATCTAACTCCTCTTGATTATTATCTATGGGGACACTTGAAAAGTGAGGTTTACAAAACAAAACCTGAAAGCATCCAAGAATTGATACAGCGAATAAGGGATGAAATAGATTTGATACCTTTTGAGACGAATCGTAGAGCCATTTCTGCATTCTATAAAAATTGGCATATTGTCAGGAAATAAGTGGCAGCCACTTTCAGCATTTACTTTAACGCACTGAGTAAAATTTATTTTAAAACACGGAGTAAAAGGTTTTGAATCATTAAAGAGAGATGACAGTTTTCAATCGTCTGTTTTGCAACCTATCACGACACATTCACACTTGTTTAGCCACACGCACGCACACACATACGCATGCACGCACACACACACACACACACACACACACACATACACACACACAAGGGATCAGATTCATGCCACTTCCACACAGTTGATCCTGGATAACACTAAGTGCATGAAATTTCTAAATTTGAACGGCCGCCATTTTTAATAGGGGGGTCGTAGCGACTTAAAATTTTAAGGGTGTGTTTGTTATGAAAAGACCTTTCAAATGAGCCCTCACTCGACCCTTAGTCCAATTTAAAATTTCCAACCCCCGCGTACTAGGAGGTGGGGAATGATTCATATCCATGTCGTAGGATAGCCTTTTTGAAAAATCAAAATACGTGTTTTATCGTTTTTTGATATTTTCATTTTACAAAAATTATTTAAGGGTTTCCACACTTTTGACAAACACTATAAACGGAATATGTAGCTGTAGATGATCTTTAAATTAACTTGTCCTGATCTTCTATACGTTTACAAATATTCACCAATGTGATACTAACAGATACAAACGAATCCAAATTCATCGTGATGACTACTGCGGTAGTAAATTCAATAGGAGAAACAGAGCGTTTCATAATTAATAAAAGACTCTTTTTAATGCTGTTATCAAGTGCTAACCATTCTATCCGATATATATTATCCGCTACTTGGAGACTCTGCAAATAAAAACGTAATAAAGTATAGTGTATTAGAAACGCAGTAAAAAAATTTTGTTTATTAGAAATGCAATAAAAATTTAACACATCCACAATACAACACAAATCCAAAAAAAAGTTTAACACATTGAAGACTATGTTTATTTCTATCGATTGCACTTAAATGAAAACTTAATTGACGACCGAATTATTAAAAATTAATAAAAATATGTTTAAAGATCGAAATGCAAATATTCTTCACATTATATCATTAGCTTTCTATTAGCCACATAATCAATTTTTTAAATATACTGCTCAAAAGAATTATGGCATAGATAATTTATTGCCGAAAATTGGCCAACTTTGACTAGCGATTATTTCGCGAGAAATTATTGTAGACTAATAATTTTTTCTCCAAAATGAAGCTTGATGTCCCTATTTTAAGAATATATTTCCATTTTTTGCATGCGATGCACTCCTACCCCTGTAACCCCTAACATCTGAGAGCATGTTTGGTATACTGAAAATTGCAAAGTTTGACGGAATACACGGACGTGGGCAATTCTTTTTGGGAACGCTGTTCGCATCGTCATAAAGTTCAAATTTTTCCCTTCAATTTGAAAAAATGGAGTCGCTACAATTTTTTTTTGCATAGTTACAGCCCTTCAAAAATATCGTTGTTTTTGTTCTTCGAGCCAAGTGTGCACGCATGTGTATGTGTGTCCGTGACAGAAGAGATAAGGACCCCATGGTTCGTCACTTGCACAATAATTATTGACTCCAAACCCTCTTTTCTTTATACGTGGGTGCATGCACGCGTGTGTGTGTGTGTGTATGCGTGTACGTGCGTCTTTAATACTTGGCCCGAAGTACAAAAACAACGATATTTTTGAAGGGCTGTAACTTTGCGAAAAAAAATTGTAGCGAATCCATTTTTTCTTCAAATTGAAGGGAAGATTTGAACTTTATGACGATGCAAACGGCGTTCCCAAAAAACAGTTGTCCACGTTTGTGCATTCCGTTAAACTTTGCAATTTTCAGTATACCAAACATGCCCTCAGATGTCAGGAGTTACAGGGGTAGGGGTATATCGCATGCAAAAAGTGGAGATACATTCTTAAAGTAGAGTCTTCAAGCTTCATTTTGAAAAAAAAATCATTAGTCTACAATAATTTTTCGCGAAGTAATCGCCAGTCAAAGTTGGCCAATTTTCAGCAATAAATTCCACAGGCCTGCAAAATTTCAAAATCTTTATGCGTTTTGGATTTCAAAGGTCATTTCCTAACGTAATTTTGTCCGCTGAATGCGAATCCGGCCTTAGAATATTCCTATTACATCAGGTTTTCGAGATAATTAGGTTTAAATAGCCAAAAATTTTCCACAATATTCAACCGATTACACAGGCCTGTATGATTTTGTGTTTTGGATGTCAAAGGTCATTTCCTGCGTAATTTTGTCCGCTGAATACGAATCCGACTTTAGAATTTTTTTATCACGTCAGGATTTCGAAATAATTAGGTTTAAATAGCCAAAAATGCCGTTTTTCACTAGGCTACCCAGCCACTGAAGACAAAGCTAGATGATCCAGCCACTGAAGGCAAAATTAAAAGGTTGCCCAGACACTGAAGGCAAGGCTAGATGATCTAACCACTGAAGACAAGATTAAAAAGCTACCCAGCCACTGAAGGCAAGACCAGATGATCCAATTACTGAAGACAAAAACAAAAATGTTAATAAAAGTAGATTTTACTTATCCAGAAATAGAGTCAAAAGAGCATTTTTTGGACTTTTTACTATGAACCATATCAGGAATGTCTCGCTTAATACTTCAACAGTAATCTGCTAATATTGTTGTGTCCGAGCCACAAGGTTTGTGACAGCGTCCGTTGTCCGTGAGCCTTAGGCATCTGATGCTGATTTTGACAACTGAACGAAGATTGTTTGGACGACGGAAAATCGATAAGAAGAAAACAACAACAGCTTACAGAGAGTCTCCGGCAAGCTGTCATCGTATACAGACGCGAGAATTGTAGATTAGAGAATTATTCTTGTTTAAAGCTTGAGCGAGTTGCGATGTAAATAGTAAAGCTTGTTATTTTTACGCGAGTATTTTCATTTACCTGAGTGCAAGCGTGAGTGCGAGAGTGAGTGTAACATTTTAGGGGCTCATTCGGGTTCGAATCACAAATCGTCCGGGATCGAATCACAGATCATTCGGGATAAAAATCGCGGGACGTTCAGGATAGTAACGCGAGACGTTTGGGATCGTATCGCGACGCGCATCGCGAGTGAGAGTGACAGTGAGAGAAAGTGAGGATACAGAATGACAACCGAAGCAAGAGGTTACGCAGTTCCTAGCCGACGGAAGCGTGTTCATTCAATTGAGCCGAAAGCGACGGGGACGGAGGTGGCAAGCTCCGCAACGTCGGAGGTGTCGGTATTGCAGGATACGCTCCAAGAGATCCGAGCGATGAGGGAGGAGCGGCAGCATTTGCTGGAGGAGCTGGAAGCGTAACTGCGGAATGTTACAGGCCAGTCGCTTCCAACTTCTTTAATAACCGGGCAAATTAAAGCCGATATTTTTTACGGAACTGTGTCTTTACGCGAATATCTTTGTCAATATGAATTGATCGCACGGGCGAATGATTGTGATAAGAATTTTAAAACAATAAATCTCGCGGCAAATTTGCGCGGAAAGGCTCGGACGGTTTTAGAGGGTATGGAGGAAATTTTAATTATGCACAATTATGTGCCAGGTTAGAGTTGCGTTTCGGACAATAGGGGCTTTTTCAAAATTTTTATACGCAGTTTATTAATAGGAAACAAAAATTTGAGAAAGAAATTACGTCTTACGGGTTGGAAATAGAGCGATTAGCGCGTTTAGCTTATCCCGAAAGTAGAAGAGAAATGAGAACAAAGATAGCTTGTGCGCAATTTATGGGGAAGAAAGGGAATCGCGGGAAAATAAAAATTTTAGTAAGAAGAGAAACTTTGAAAATAAAAGTCAGAGAAAATTTCCTTTTCCAAATTTTGAAAGAAGAGCAGCGAAACAGAATTTTGTAGACAAAAGAAAGCGAGAAGGAAAATGTTGTAGCTGTGGAGGAAAGGAACATTTTAGGTATGAATATCCGAAAAACGCGTTACGACGGGAAAACTAGGGCTGGTCGAGTTCATCGGGGCGAGTTCGACTTTCGAAAGGAATGCTCCGAAAAAAATTAAAGAATTGAATAAGGATAAAATGCGAATAAATAATAAGAGTAGGTAAGATAAGTAGAATAAGTAGAAAGTAGGATAAGTAGAATAAGTAGAATTAAGAATCTTTTCACTTATTATGGAACTTTAGACGGAAGAACATATTTATTTAAATTAGACACGGGCTCTGATGTCTGTTTAGTGAATAGGGAATTAGTAGGAAACAGAAAACGCTCTGAGTCAATTGACAAGTGTAGGTTAGTTTATCCGACAGGAGAGGAAGTTCCTATTAGGAATAAAGTTTATTGTCAAATTCAATTAGGAAGTTTCGAGGTAAAAATGTCGATGATGGTGGTCGACATGGAAGATATGTGTTTATTAGGAGCGGATTTTTTCGAAGCGATAGGAGCAGAACGAATTTTTGAATCTCCCTTTGGAAATTCGTCTTGTAGGATAAAACAGGGAAATTTTTTTTGTTCTCGAGTTTGGAATAAAGAAGAGAACGTTCCAGAAGGCTTAGGAGAATTTTATGAGAGAAACTCAAAGGAGTTAGAAACTTCACAAAAAGAAGATTTTGTGGAATTCTTGAAAGAATTCGGGGATATTTTTGATCGACGAGTAACAGCAGGAAATTGTGTTGAAGTTCAGCATGAAATTCAGCTGTTAGATCCTACTCCGATTAAACAAGCTTCAAGAAGAATTCCTTTCAAAATGTGTGAAAAAGTAGAGAAAATTATGGGAAAAATGGAGAAGCAAGTAGTAGGAGTAATCGAGAAATCTTCTAGTCCGTGGACCTCGCCGGTAGTTATAGTTCCAAAAAAAGATGATACAGTTAGATTTTGTGTTGACTTTAGGAAGTTGAATTCTATTGCGAAGAAAGATTCATATCCGTTGCCTAGAACAGATGATCTTTTAGACCGGTTGTCAGGAAATGAATGGTTTTCCACTTTAGATATAAAAAGTGGGTATTGGCAAATTAAGAATGAAGTAGTTTATTGTATTAGGAAATCGAGTAAGAGCAGGAATAAAGTAGTACATGCAGATAGGTTAGCTTCTTTTAGTGAGAGACAGGAATAGAGAATACATCAGAGACCTGTAAATTTTTAATGGTAAAATTATTTAAACAAAATCTTGCATTCATTTTCTTTACTTTAAGGTGTAATTTTGGAGAGCGGTTTCAGAGGACCACATCCGGAAACAAGAAAAGTGAGAAGGCTGCCTCCCCCCACGGTTTTTGATCGTGGTTTTTCCGTGGGGTTTTGGGCGAATGTTGAGACAGGGAATCGGGGTGTTCTTCAAAAGAACGTTGGGTCGTGGACCCAACGTTCTTTTGAAGATTTGTGGCAGCGTCCGTTGTCCGTGAGCCTTGGGCGTCTGATTTTGACAACTGAACGAAGATTGTCTGGACGACGGAAAATCGATAAGAAGAAAACAACAACAGCTGACAGAGAGTCTCCGGCAAGCTGTCATCGTAGACAGACGCGAAAATTGTAGATCAGAGAATTATTCTTGTTTAAAGCTTGAGCGAGTTGCGCTGTAAATAGTAAAGCTTGTTATTCTTACGCGCGTGTTTTCATTTACCTGAGTGCAAGCGCGAGTGCGAGAGTGAGTATAATTATAACATTTTGTGAGTGTAACAAAATATGTACACTTACTCTCGCACTCGCGCTTGCACTCAGGTAAATGAAAACACTAGCGTAAGAATAACAAGTTTACTATTAGGTTGGGGAAAAATAAATATTTTTTCGTTTATTTCAAGGCTTTATTTAATATAATAAGGATTGTTCGAATTTAGTCAAATAAGCACTGTTTTGTTCTACAATTTGTCG